GCTAAGAAGGCAAAATTTGTAAATTAAACGATGTGTCATTAATAGAAATGAAAATGTTTATTAACGTTTAAGTGCTAAACCAATCATCAACTTCCATGTCCTTTAGTTTTTAAAATTTTATCTACAAATTTAATTTTCCTAGCATTACCTTTTTATTCGAATACTTGACTCACATAAGTAAAATTCTTATACTTTGAACCAAAAAAAGTAAAGTGCTTTATACAATAAGAAAGAGATTTCCACTTGCGCTCATTTCTTGTTATGCATACTCACTTTCCTTTTCACATTTGGACTGAATATATCCCTTAAGGAGCGATCTCCATTTATTAAAAGAAATGGAGACGAGTTCTGGAGCCCACTCACCATTCTTCTTCAATGATATGAATTGATCATTTAATTTTAAAAAATATTAGTAAAATTGGAAATGATTAAGAAATCTAATTGTGATGATCAAAATTAATGAACGTAGTGTTCTAAAAAAATATCGAAATTTCACGATGAGAATTATATGAGTAAATGATTTGGATTAAAATGAATTTTTTGCAAGAATGATCTTTGAATAGACTTACAACTTAGATAGTTCAGGTTATTGTAAAAGAAAATGACGATCCATCTCCTTAAAGGATAAAATCAAAGATCAACGTTTAAAAAGAATAAAAATGTGTATGATATTCATTTATCATCCTATCCGTTTCAATATTCTTATTTTGGAAAAGAGATTGTTATTAATTAAAATGAATTAATTACTTAAACAATTTGATTCAACTTTTGATTCCACGCTTAAGGGTGAGAAGGATGTTGATATTATGATTGATAACATTATATTGGATATACGACAGCTAGCTATGCAAATGGAGTGACACATCCCGACTTGGGAGGGTCGAAGCATGCTGGCCATCACCGTGAGGTGACGTAACCATAAGAGTAAGTGATGTAAAAAGTGAATAAATTTAAAACTAATTAGAACTAATTATACTAAACTGTGAAAGAGTGCGTAATCGTGGGATGAACCCACTACAATTATTCAGAGCGTAATAGACAGTGAGACTACAGAAGAGTAGTCAAAGTAACTAAAGTACACTTATTACATAACAGTGATAAGTTCGTATGTCTAAACAAAAGGGAATGTTAGAACTACCGAGATTCTTCGAGTGCCACAAAGAGTACAGCTATCTAGGTCCTGGAAGGGCGAAAAATAAAATTGAGTGGGTCAGCAAAACAATGCTTATACGAAATCCTTTATTTTCAAATATATTAACCCCTCGCCGTAAAACAAGTATAATTTCCTTAAAACATACTACGTAGATATGTAAACAATAAATCAACAACATTGAAATATTATTATAACCAGAAATATGCCAAGTCATGATGTATCAAATGCCACAATAATATAATCATGTGATAGTCAAGTATAGCTAAGTGCTCATCCATCTAAGCTGACACACGAGTTCGAACATATAATTTCTGACACGAACAAGACTGGGTGTAATCAATATGCTCTAGTACTACGATCACGTAAAGGCTACCCGACAGGACTGTCATCTAACTTGGATCCAAGGCGAGCGAACGGTGCGATGTGAACATTCACATGAAGGACTGGCCTTGGCCCTGGGACGAGTACTAACACTGGTGCAGCAAGATGAGCATGTACAAATATGTATGAATGTTATGACAGTAATATCTCAACCATATAGCAACATTTATCACAATTAAATCGCAGTTATCAATTATTTGGCAATATAAATGTACAATGATGTATTTATGCAATTCTGGAAACTATAAATATGTATAGATATAAAAATAAACTGCCCACTCACAAGTACGTCGTTGGGTTGTAGCCCCCGAGCCTAACTTGGCCTCGAACATCCTCAAGATACGTTTCCCCTATATGTGAAATAACTAATTTCGAATTAATTAAAGCACATATACGTAAACCTAAATAAAACTTCCATAGTTTGCTCAAACCTAGGGTTTAAATATACCATCGTGACCTACTCAACGTTACGAATATCCCCATATTTTTGGAAAAAAATTTGGACCCTTCATGCGCCCCCATGCACCGACAATGGCATGGCTAGACACGCCCCCGCGAGCAGGCTAGTGCCATTAGCTAGCCTGACGCCGTCAGAAATATTCCACGGAATATTTCATTAAATGCTAACAGAGATTAATGGCGTTACCTGATATTGTCAGGAATATTCTGTCAACTCTGACGGAATATTTGGTCACCTTCTCCGATTGCCCTCGTCGTTGTCACCGTCTGCAACTCGATTTTTGCCGGGTTTCTGGAAAATTTTCAAATAAGCATAACTTCTTCATTTCTCATCCATTTTCAACCTACTTTATATGGATTTGAAGCTCATGAAGAGTAGAATCGGGTTATACCTATTTGGAGTCCAAAAAGTGGACGGAGGTAGCCGAAAAACGCCTCGAAAGTTCTGGCCAAAAGTGAACTCCTCGAAACTCGGTTGTTTCGATGTCCAAGCTTCTTCAAAAATGTCCTAGAGGCCTCGGGGAGTTGTGGGAAGGCTTCCTTTACCTTCAAAACTCCTTAACTCGGCCTAAAATCTGATGAACTCAGATCACTGAGTTCGGACCTCACGAGTTCAACGTTGAAAACTTGTCCATTTCGGGTCTCAAGAACATGGTTGTGTTCGTGAAGATGAGAGGAGTACAATGGAGTAGTTTTTGGGTTCGATCTGTGAGGTTTAGGGTTCAAGGGGTTTGCAGAGAAAGAGAGTATACGGGAGAGAGAGAGATAAGGAAGAGAGAAAGAGTCCTTTTTTTTTTCTTTTTCTGATTGGAGGACAGAAATGAGGGAATGGATGGGATTGGTGGAGTGCACACGATGACCTAAATAGAAGGCTAGGGATAGGGTTTTAGATTTTGTACAAAAAGAACATCGAAAATCTATCCGGAATAGTGTTTTCACACTGATAAAATCTACAGAGTCTAGTAATAACGTGCACAATTTATTTACGATAAAATAAATAAGAAGGAAATAAACACGTCCACGTCGTTCGCCACTAAGGGCATAGCTGTCAATACACATACTCGGGGAGATATTACATAGGAAAATTAGGGACGGGTCGTCACATGGAGTCCATTGAGTTCTTATCTGTGCCTCGGTGATGCAACAGGGCAGCTCATTCGATGGCTTCGTTTGTGAATAGGAAGGGGGACAACCATAGATAGAGTTTGATTTTTCTTTAATTTTTATAACATTTCTATTTGAATTTAATTTGAATAAAATTTTATCGTTTTGAAAAAAAAAAAAAAACTTAAACATGTATATACCAAAATGTATGTAAATATATTAAGTGAGTTAATACATCTAAATGAATAATACATATTAACCAAATACATTATAAAAAAATAGTCTACCGAAATGTTTGTAAAAAAAAATACTAAGATGAATCGAATGAAATTATGATTTAAAGCATTACCATGAGTGAACACATGGGTATCATATGAAGAAAATGGATGATAAAATTTCAAAATAGAAAAAATATATGAGGTAATAATTAAAAGTGATTTTTTTTAACAAAAATGTTATTCTTATTTAGGAATATTTTTGCTCACCATCATAAACTTTCACGTATGCTTACCATACACTTAATCATTTGTCATGTGTCATTTCACTTAATTTTGGTTTATTTTTTATTATCTATTTGTACCATAATCTAAATATATATAAGACCTACATGTGTTAGTAGATCCTATCCCTTTTAAATCGATGATACAGATAGAGAGTAAGTTTAGCGTTTCTCTTTTTAAGGATGAGAATGAAATTTTTGAAAAATAATTAAAATTATATTATATTATTATATAGAAGCTACTAGCTAGTGTGGAGTTGATGAAAATCATTTGGGCGGGAAGTTTAGGGAACAAGGAGTTGGCGGCAGCAGGGCAGGAAACAAGGCAGTTGGAGCGGGCGTGTGTCGTACAATCTTTAATCTTATCCCAACTCATGAAAAGCATTTCGAGTTCGGACAATTACACTTACATCACTATCCATAACGTAAAACTACTCAACTTGTACTATCCATAACGTAAAACTACTCAACTTGTACTTTTGTACACACACATCACACCTTTAATTACCATTTAAGTTCTGAGAAATGAAAAACAGATTTTGTATGAACTTTTTTTCACCTCATGCTTTTGGCATAATATTTTATAATATTGATATGAAAATCGACTTAAAACTGTGAGATGACAAATAATTCTTAGAGATTCCCCCTTTGACAGAGTCTTGTTGACATTTCTCTTAAGTTATTGTGTTATAATAATTAGCTAAAGTTTTAACATAGTGGCCAAAACAAGGTGATAAAAAGTAGGATTTCTAACTCAGAGTAATACTGTAAAACCTCATACAGCGGTACTCTATATTATGAATAATCTCCATTTAGTTATAAAAAAAATTTGAAAAAAAATTGGTCTTAACTTTCTTTCCATTGTAAACAGAAGTCTTAAATTCAATTTTTTATTTTATTTTTCATATTGATAAAAGTTAGATATGAAATTTGAACTATTACATGTTACAAAACGTGCGAGTTTAATTTGAAATTTGTCTTAAATTTGTGCACTCTTTACATTGTTAAAATTTAAATACATTATTTGAACAATTGCATTTACGAAAAACTTGCGTTAAGTTTACGTGGCATCTTAAGTTTGAATGTGTCCGACCGTTAAAGCAATATCAATGCGGACGATTGATTGCAGTATTCAACTGTTCAATAAAATGCCCGAATTTACATAGCGCCAAAAATTTGAATACATATGACCGTTAGAGCCACATCAACGTGAGCGATTGATTGCAGTACTCAAATGTTTAATAAAACACGCGAATTTACATAGCACCGAAAATTTGAACACATATGACTCAATTGATCAATGAAAGGGGTGAGGATTTTCTTTCTTGCCAACAAATGCTAGGAAATTTATTTGCCAAATAAGTATTGCTTGGGAATTGCTCTCAAAGGAAATATGAAGTGAAACGCACAAAGCCAACCAGCATGACTAGAACTGCAAATTTGAAAGAAACAGAAGCTTACAGACTTCAAATTTGAAAAGAACAAGAGATAAGAACAAAGGCAGTTTTAGTCCCAAACAAAACCTCCATCAATTCAGCCTGAAAAATTCCAAAATCCTACTGCAGATACCCAACTCAGCTGCCACTCTGCACCAGTAACTCCCCTTTAAAACCTCTCTCTCTCTCTCTCTCTCTCTCTCTCTCTCCTCGAATGCTTCATTTTAAAACTTCAGCCATCTCTCTCTAGACTCCAGAACCCATTTTGATTCCCCCAAACCGAATTTCCAGCTCCCAAAAAGCTCTCACCTTTACCCTTCAAATCGTTCAATCCAATGAATCACAGCAACCCAAATAAATAAATTTGAGTCCTCACAAACCCAAATCCCGAAATCAAACCCGTTTCAAAAGCCATTTGCTTTATCGTGATGAATTCTGTAGACACTCACCCACTCATCGGCTACTCATTCGGCGACGAGCTCTTCCAAAACCGGCGGCTCATGCGCCACGGCCCGCCACCGTTGCGGGGCGCGATGCGAATCCTTTCGCGCGTAAGCGGGCGCCGAATGAGGCTGCGCGAGCCGTCGGTTCGGGTCCGGGAGAACGCGGTGGAGGAGCTGGAAGAGCGTCAGAACTTCTGGGCTTACTCGAAGCCCGCCATAATTCTGGACCTGCTGTGGAATTTGGTTTTCGTGATTGTTGGGTTCACTGTGCTGGGGCTGAGCGTGGAGGAGAAGCCATTGGTGCCTATAAGGGTTTGGGTTGTTGGGTACATTTTGCTGTGTGTTGTTCATGTTGGGTGTGTGGTTGCGCAGTATCGGAGGAGGCGCGAGGAGGGCGAGGCGGGTTCGGGTGAAGTGGGTTGGGGGAGTATTGGGAGTGAGAGTTCGGGGTCAGGGGGTAATGTTGGGGGTTATGGGGGTGAGCATGGTTTGGTTGATGATGATACAAGGTAAACAATTTTGGAGATTATAATTATTATTCTCAACTGATTGTAGAAATTAGGATTAAAAGTACACACATCAATGATTTTATGATGTAAAAGTTTGATTTTTGATTCAAATGTTGCATGTATGATCAATTTTTTTTGAAGTATGCATTTATGCATGTGTTGTGACAATGTTATATGGAATAGTTGATAGGAAATTTCGTGTTCATCGGTTTAGTTCAACGGACATGGGAAGTATGGTTTCTAAGTCGGTATAAGAGGGTTAGCATTGATGGAAAGATACAGAGATGGGAAAAAGGATTTACACATGGTCTTTATAAATTTGGAAAAAGCGTATGATAGGGTCCCAAGAGACATTCTTTGGAGGATTTTAGAGAAGAAAGGAGTACGAGTAGCATATATCCAAGCTATACAGGATATGTATGAAGGAGCAAAGACTGCCGTAAGAACTCATGAAGGACAAACCGAAAGCTTTCCCAGAACTGTAGGATTACATCAAGGCTCATCCTTAAGTCCTTACCTTTTTGCGTTGGTAATGGATGAGTTAACAGGACATATTCAAGATGATATTCCTTGGTGTATGCTTTTCGCAGACGATATAGTGTTGATAGATGAAACTCAGGAAGGGGTAAATGCAAAGCTTAACCTTTGGAGAGAAGTGTTGGAATCTAAAGGTCTTCGCCTAAGCCGATCAAAGACAGAATATATGGAGTGCAAGTTCAGTGCAAATGGAGGCCAAAACGATTTAGGGGTGAGGATCGGAGATCAAGAATTACCAAAGAGCGACCGTTTTCGTTATCTAGGATCTATCTTGCAAAAGAACGGAGAATTAGATGGAGATCTCAACCATAGAATACAAGCTGGATGGATGAAGTGGAAGAGTGCATCCGGCGTGTTGTGTGACCGCCGTATGCCATTGAAGCTCAAGGGCAAATTTTATAGGACGGCAATAAGGCCGGCGATGCTGTATGGCACAGAATGTTGGGTGGTGAAGCATCAACACGTACACAAAATGGGTGTAGCGGAGATGAGGATGCTTCGTTGGATGTGTGGGCACACGAGAAAGGATAAGATTAGGAATGAGGATATCCGGGGTAAAGTAGGAGTAGCCGAAATTGAAGGAAAGATGAGAGAAAATCGGTTACGGTGGTTTGGACATGTGCAAAGAAGGCCTACTGACGCTTCGATTAGAAGATGCGACTATGGGACAGAGGTTCAGGGCCGAAGGGGTAGAGGAAGACCTAGGAAAACTTTGGAAGAGACCCTAAGAAAAGACTTAAAGTACTTGGATCTAACGGAGGACATGACACAGGACAGAACACAATGGCGTTTTAAGATTCATATAGCCGATCCCACTCAGTGACTTGGATTTTCCAAGTCTCCAACCGAGAAGTTTTCCTCACTCGGGAAATTAAGGGAACACTACCTCAACCTACATGCTCCACTCACAAAGCTTCAACATACAAGCTTCAACAAAAGAAAATTCAAAGAACTTAGCGAAGAAGGCTTTGGTGTATTTAACACAATACGTTGAAATGAAGGAAAGCTTATTTATTGATATCCCCGATAAGTTATAAATATGTACATATACTTGAGTCAAAATAAACAAACAAGAGGGAGCCTTCACAAAGGTTGCTTAGGAGAAGTCTCAGCAGTCGGTAGAGCCTCAGAAAGAGAAGGCACCGGAGGGGGATCATTCGGAGCCTCAGTACTGGACAAAACTCTAGAAGGAGGAGGCATCAGAGGTTGATCATTTGGAGTTTCATTATACGGTATAGCCTCAGAAGACGAAGGCAATAAATGCCTTTGGAACAAACCCACAAATCTCTGATGATCAAGTAAAACCTGACCATCAGATTCCTTCATCTGGTCAAGCTTCCTCTTCATGTTTGTAGCATAGTCATGTGCGAGCCGGTGCAACTGTTTATTCTCATGCTTGAGCCCTCTAATCTCCTGTTTGAGACTCATCACTTCAGCCGCCAATGATTCAACTTGGCGGGTTCGAGCAAATAGGCGTTGGGCCATATTAGACACAGAACCTGCACACTGAACACTGAGAGCCAGAGAATCCTTAACAGCCAACTCATCAGACCGTTTGGAAAGTAGTCTGTTATCTTTGGGAGTGAGAAGGTTCCTGGCCACTACCGCAGCGGTCATATCATTCTTCATCACGGAATCCCCAACGGTAAGAGGACCAGTAGGGGAGACGAAGGATGGGCGCCATATGTTGTCTGGAGAAGGCGGGGCTGCCTCTTCAACAAGGTTCAAGTCAAAACGACGGTCGGAGGGGCCAGACATTTTCAAAGGTGTTGAAGAGAGAAGAGGTCGGACAAATCAAGATCTTAGAAGTGCAAGAATGGAGCTTCTACTGGTGGATATTCAAGTGTGCTTTGGAACTTAATGTCAGCCCCTATAAAATCTGCACTCGACGAAGCTTCAGAAATCAAAGAGGCGCCTGCTCAGAAATCGAAGAGGCGTTTGCTTTCTCAAAAGCTGGGCTGCTCAGAGACCACGAGGGTCGATCTCAGAAATCGAAGAGGCGTTTGCTTTCTCAAAAGCTGGGCTGCTCAAAGACCACGAAGGCCGATCTCAGAAATCGAAGAGGCTTGCTTTTCTCAAAAGCTGGGCTGCTCAGAGACCACGAGGGCCGATCTCAGAAATCGAAGAGGCACCTACTTTTCCAGCCTTGTCAGCACCTGTCACACACACGCACACTCAGCTTTGCGGAAATTATGGGCATTCTGTCGAAGATTTCTGGCGAAGTAGAAAGCACATGAATCGTACTGTTCAATCACCCACTTCCCACACGCAACAGTAACTCATGGGTACCACAGATAACTTTGCCAAAGTTCTCTGACAAAGTTGAGACACGTGAAGCTTGCAGCTCCCACTACATCGCTCTGACCAAGAAGGGTAAAAGAATTGCAAAGAAACAACACTAACAAAGTTTAGACACATAAATTTTGAAGGTCTAGCTACCATATTATTACCCACAAGGGTAAAGGAACAGTACCACTGCTGGATAATTGGAAAGTCCCGGTGTGTCAACCTCTGTGCTTCGTGGCAAGGTAGACTAGCAAACATGCCCAACCTTTACTCACATTCGAGAAAACACTCCCAACAGGATTGCTTGCTCCAAAATCGAAGAGGCACCGCCCTCCGAATCTCGAGAGCCAGACTCCCAACATGATTACTTTCTCAAAAATCGAAGAGAGGGTAAAGAAACAGTACCACTGCTGGATAATTGGAAAGTTCCTGTGTGTCAACCTTTGTGCTTCGTGGCAAGGTAGACTAGCAAACATGCCCAACCTTTACTCACATTCGAGAAAACACTCCCAACAAGATTGCTTGCTCCAAAATCGAAGAGGCACCGCCCTCCGAATCTCGAGAGCCAGACTCCCAACATGATTACTTTCTCAAAAATCGAAGAGAGGGTAAAGGAACAGTACCACTGCTGGATAATTGGAAAGTCCCTGTGTGTCAACCTCTGTGCTTCGTGGCAAGGTAGACTAGCAAACATGCCCAACCTTTACTCAAATTCGAGAAAACACTCCCAACAAGATTGCTTGCTCCAAAATCGAAGAGGCACCGCCCTCCGAATCTCGAGAGCCAGACTCCCAACATGATTACTTTCTCAAAAATCGAAGAGACACCGCTCTTTGAATCTCGAGAGCCAGACCCCCAGCAGGATTGCTTTCTCAAAAAATCGAAGAGGCATCGTTCTCCGAATCTCGAGAGCCAGATCCCCGACAGGATTGCTTGTTCGAAAACCGAAGAGGCACCACTTTCCCAACTTCAAGAGCTGGATCTCCTTGGATAAAGCTTGTCTGTAATCTTCACACGCAACATCAGCTTTCCAGATACCACAGACCACTTTTTCAAAGTGCTCTGACAGAGTTAAAACATGTGAAGCTGGCAGCTCCCACTACCGTGCTATGACCAAGCAGGGTAAAGGAATAGCATTATTACTTGATGTTAGGGAGACTCCTATATATGTCGACCTCCATCCCTAACGGACAGGCAGACCTGCAAAAATGCTCAACCCTTTCTCTTATCTGAGAGGGCACTCCCAACGAAGCCTTTCGAAATATTCAGCTTTCTTTCCCCCCGATAATACCTCTGTAAACAAGCTATACTAGAGCAAGAATATCTCATATCATCAGGGTTAAAAGCAAGAGTATCCCATATCATGCTTTTTCCCTGTCTTTTCCTTTGGCCTTGTTCTTACCTGCAAGACAAGGAGAAAGAGAGCAATCAGTCAGCACTTGGAATCAAGCTTCCAGCCAGGAACTGACTGCCTGGAACCCCTTACCTGATTAACTTACCTGGCATTGCTCTCGAGTACTCATCTTCAACATCTTATGCTTCCAGGGAAGATACCGCATCTGCCTGAGGAACAGATAGGGCAAGTGAGAAGGATACAAGGAAGCATGTGGAGACAAGCGTAACAGCACACGTGCCGATACATCCACTACTCTGTCAAAAGCAAAAGTATCCCATATCAGCAGGGTCGAACGTACTCTAGATTTGATGGACTTGTTTTGACCCTCAAATTCTTCAGTCGGCCTTATACTCTGGAGGAAACCAGAAAACCCTCCAGCCCGGTTCAAGAATAAGCCTGTGGAAAGTTACTTCTTCAAAAGCAAAAGTATCCCATATCATCTCTTCTCATTTTTCTTCTCTTTATCCTTCATGCTGCCTGCAAGATAGGGGAGAATGTGAACAATCAGCCGGAGCTCTGATTGCTTACCTTTTCTGTCACCTCTTTCAGCAGATCCCCTAGCCCGGCGACTTGGGGGACTCCTACTACATGGTTTGTATCGCGCTTGACCAAGCCTGAAACTACAAGTAAGCTTCAAGTGAAATTGATACATTACCTTGTGCATCTCCACCAGTTACAGATACCACCCCTGGATGGAGGAAGAGTACTTCCAGAGAAGATGCCACATCTACCTATGAGACAGATAAAGGCAAGTCAAGACGATACCACACTCCGGTACTTAGAAGTTTCGTGGTTACGAGATCATTCTCCCACAATATTTCCTAATGTCATTTGTACTAAATCATTCACTTGTACTCACTAAAGGAGAGCTTGAACCTATGTACTTGTGTAAACCCTTCACAATTAATGAGAACTCCTCTATTCCGTGGACGTAGCCAATCTGGGTGAACCACGTACATCTTGTGTTTGCTTTCCTATCTCTATCCATTTATATACTTATCCACACTAATGACCGGAGCAATCTAGCGAAGATCACAAAAAGTGACCGTTTTCGCTACCTAGGATCTATCTTGCAAGAGAACGGAGAATTAGATGGAGATCTCAACCATAGAATACAAGCTGGATGGATGAAGTGTAAGAGTGCATCCGGCGTGTTGTGTGACCGTCGTAGGCCACTGAAGCTCAAGGGAAAATTTTATAGGACGGCAATAAGGCCAGCGATGTTGTATGGCACAGAATGTTGGGCGGTGAAGCATCAACACGTACACAAAATGGGTGTAGCGGAGATGAGGATGCTTCGTGGGATGTATGGGCACACGAGAAAGGATAAGATTGGAAATGAGGATATCCGAGGTAAAGTAGGACTAGCCAAAATTGAAGGAAATATGAGAGAAAATCGGTTCCGGTGGTTTGGACATGTGCAAAGAAGGCCTACTGACGCTCCGGTTCGAAAATGTGACTACGGGACAGAGGTTCAGGGCCGAAGGGGTAGAGGAAGACCTAGGAAAACTTTGGAAGAGACCCTAAGAAAAGACTTGAGTACTTGGATCTAACGGAGGACATGACACAAAACCGAGCGCAATGGCGTTCTAGGATTCATATAGCCGACCCCACTTAGTGAGAAAAGGCTTTGTTGTTGTTGTTGTTGTATTAGTTCAATTCTGTTCTCTATTTAGATACGTACAATCGAGCAGGGTGTGCATTCTACGATGTCCTTTATCTGATAGCTAAAGTCAGTCTGTTTTCAATTTTGCGGTGCATTTGTTGTGAATGTGATATTCTCCACTTAGAACTAATCTTGTGTGGCTCTATGCCATGAAGTATATTTAACTATCTTCATTTTTTGTGCAACAGTGTCACCACGAGTCTGGAGTCAGCCATTAGCATGTTTTCATTTATATGGTGGAGCATTGGCTTTTACTGGGTGCTTAATGGCGGCCAGACTTTGCTATCCAGTTCACCTCGCCTTTACTGGTTAGGATTGAACTGTTTTTACTCTGAAGTGGTTTCTTTTGAGTGATTGTCTTGAATGTGTGTGCGTGTGTGCACGCACGTGTTTTAACTGTTTACACTCTGCTCTTTTCTTGTAGGCTATGTGTTTCATTTCTAGTTTTTGATGTCACCTTCATCATTGTATATGTTGCTGCTTCATGTCTTGTTGGAATTGCAATCTGCTGCTTCCTTCCATGCATAATTGGAATCTTATGTGCTGTGACAGATCAGGTAGACCTCCATAAGGATTGTATGCAAGGTTTAGTTTATTGTCTAGAAAGAGTCAGCTTCATATAATCTTTCCTCTGATCATGTGACTTGAGCTAATTAAAATTTTTTTGCTCTCATCTAAGCTTAAAATTCACGCTGTACGTGATTATATGACATACCTCTACATAGAGAATAAACAAAATGATATAGTATATTCAGTAATAATAGCAAGTTAATAGATCTCGTCAATGCACGTGTCATGCACATTATGCACACATATGGAAATATGTGAATGGAAACCAATGATACTTGACTATGCGGCGATTGGCCAATAGGATAATAGATTTGCTGGCCATTGTTGTGTTTTGTATGTTTGTGGTTTCTTATATTATTAGACAAAGTGTGAGAGCATCTCCAGTACTAAATGGAGATGTATAGGCACATTTAGACCTCTTGCTCGAATGGGAGTTGTATTTGGGCTATAAAACCAACAACTAGCCGACAAATGTGTAAATAGTTGCAAATTAGCATCTGTTTTGCGTCGTACTTTGGAGGGCCCCACGAATGAAAACAATTTCAAGAATGAGTGAAACGTGTGAAGCCAAGAGAAAGGAAAAATAAAGGGCAGTAATTACTTTCTTGATTTGACTCCAAACGGCTGGGATTAAATTCCCAAAATTACATCCCGTAAATGCATCCAACCCACTGGAGTAAAATCCTCCATATATCCACTAGAGATGCAATTTTGGACGTAAAATGTGATTTTACATCCCAAATTTGCATCTCCCCATTGGACATGCTCCGATACATGTGAAGGCTGCTAACTCATAATCTCATTCAATGTTTATAAGGAATTCTTACCTGTTGATGACTTCAGTTCTCTCCTTGAATTTTGTCACGAACCAGATGTGAACTCCCTATTTAAGTTGAAGAATTAGATCTCATGCTTTCTATTTTATGCCAATGTTTGAGTTTGAGTTTTCTGTAGAGACAATTAATTTGAATGAGGTGTCATTACACTTTCTTATCTTGCACTAGTGAATTAATTCGATTCTACTCAATCATATATGTAGTTATATAACTTCATACGACTTCTGGATGAAACAGGATGGGGCAACAGAAGAAGAGATTGATGGATTGCCAAAGTTCAAATTCAGAAGGGTAGGTGACTCAGAGAAAGTTAATGGTGAGGTCCAAGCTTTTGAAGGATTCATGATCGAATGTGACACCAATGCACCAACTGAGCGTCCTATTTCCCTGGTTGATGCTGTAAGTTTCCTTGTGCCCTTATATCAGATCCTACCACTTCCTAATTGCTTATACTTATAGTTGTATTCTGTTATGTAATTTTGGCAGCTCATGCACCATAGCTACCATAGCTGGTCCAGTAATAGGATTGTTGTTGCCATAGCTTTTCGTTCCAAACTTATTTTGGATTTTGTTGATAGTCCTTCCTTTACAATCCCCCCCCCCCCCCTTTCCGATTTCTTATAAAAGAGCATTTCACTAATTTTCTCCCTTAATCTGCTACTAATTTTCTCACTTGGTGCGATGGCAAGTGTCTTCGCCCATGAGCGGTAGGTCTCGGGTTCGAGACTTGGGAGCAGCCTCTCCATAAATGGGGGTAAGGCTAGCCGACATTCACCTCTCCCAGACCCTACGTAAAGCGGGAGCCTTGGGCACTGGGTACAACCTTTTTAATCTGCTACTGATTTTACCCCTTGAAACCCCACTGCCGATTTTCACCCCAAACTTTTATATCGGCCAGTCCCTGTCCCCCCTACCTTCATGTTTACCCACATTCCATCCCCATTTTTTGTCCAAAAATGTCACATGCCGGTCATTTAATGTGAAAGTTTCAATAAAAAGTCAGATGAAATGCGGGGAACATGTTCGATGGTGAGAAGCTGGCCATGTACAATAGATTTGAATGAAACCATACAATCTTGTGTTTGGATATCTACTATTCTCCCAAGTTATCATTTGACATTCGATTTGGCAATTCATCACTGTGAAAAAGTATATGACTAGACGGCCCTTGTGACACGAATATTTTTCGTAAATTGCAGGAATGCTGCATCTGCCTTTCTGTCTACGAGAATGGAGCAGAACTACGCGAGCTTCCTTGCCTTCATCACTTTCACTGCACTTGCATAGACAAATGGTTATATATCAATGCTACCTGCCCCATGTGTAAGTTCAACATTTTGAAGCCTCATGACCGACGTGAAATCGGGCAAGTGTAAACGGGATCAATTATATCGATATTAGGGAAACCGAAATCGATATATTATGTGTATTAAGTTAGTGTAAACTAACTTGTTATAATGCTAAATAAGAAAATAAAATATATGGTGCTCTTAATTAATGCGTGGGGGATTATTTTTCATGAAGGATTAGGCATTAAACAAAAAGATTTGGGTTAACTTTCTAGTAGACATTTTTAATTTTAAAAGAAAATTGGATCGGTCCCTAAATTTTAGTGGAATTAGAGCCTTGGCCCATTAATTAAAACTTAATGAGTATTGGTCTTTGAACTTGTCACATTGTAAAGCAATGGGTTTTTTGGGTAAATCTATTAGGGGTGTGTTATCCACACACCTCTTTTTACTTCTCACACACTCCTTATTAATTTATGTCCGTTGATTTTCTTCAATTCATACGATCCGATGGTCGAAAACCAAAAAGGTGTGGGAGAAGTAAAAAGGGGTGTGTGGATATCACCCCATCTATTAAAACTTTCATTTCCTATTTTCCATTTAAACTCTATATTCTGAATGGAAATTTTAATGGTTTTACTCAAAAGAACAATTATTCATGAAATTTTAGATCATGGACCACAAATTTTGACAAGGTAACTAGTAAATAAACGACCAATGGGAGAGCATCACTAGAAAGTGGTAGATTGCTCTGTTGGTTAAGGGCGTCTTCTTCAACTAATTGCAATATGGGTTCAAGCCCTCTCTTATCCCCCCCTAGTATAGATGAGTATTTTATTTGGTCAAACATTGTGTAGGTTAGTATAGAACATAGTGTAGGTTAGTTTAGAATATATTTTGTATTGAAAAACATAGTGTAGGTTAGTATAGAATAAATAAGCTTGGAATATCTGTGACGACCTGTCTCAAATTATATATTTATTTATCCCTGAGTATGTAAAGTGACGATAATGCCCTTAAGGCTTAGTGACGTGGATGTACATATATAGTTTTAAATTATTTTTCTCGTTGACGTAATTAATTGTACGTGTCATCACAAGCATGTTGACGCGAGTTAGGGCCGAATCGGGTAAGTAACAGAAATGTTACGAATGAATAAGTGGAATTGGGGTTGGTTTTATTTCCATTTGGAATCAATTGCTTAAGCCCTAAATTCTATAGCCCAATTAGGGCATGAGATTTGCTCCTCTTTTGGTCAATCCGTGACCAAACACACACACGTGCAACCCCCTCTCTCCTTCCTTCTCGAACTCTTTTTCTCGTCCATACAACCCAAGCCCTCCAATCTTCAAACACCATCAAAACCTCACAGATCGAACTTCTAAGGACCATTTTCGAGTTCCTTGCAAGCCTGCGAACCTAACCATTCCCTTTGTTCAAAGAAAGGACGTTGGAATCATGAAGAACCATAAGCTTCGATGAGGTACTCTGTTACTCCGACGTGATTGTGGACATTTCACGAGATTTTAAGGCTTAAAAAAGGGTCCTTTTCGACTCTATAAAGATCCTAGGCTAGTTTTGGAGTGGTTTGAATGTCAGTATACTCGGGTTTGTCGAGTTCTAATTTTGGCCGATTGTGTTGAGCAATTTTCCGACCAGTTCCTGAAGGTTTTAGGTCCCCAAATAGGTAAGATTATGTTCTCCTTGTTGAGAGCTTCAAATCTATATAAGATTTGTAAATTTTGGTTGAAAAACGAAGTAGAAACTAAGGTTTTAAGATTTTCCAGAATCCGGCATTGCAAACTGCGGCCGGCAGCGACTCTGGTGAAACCACCGGAGAAGACAGAGAATATTCCGTCAACTTTGACGGAATATACTGATGGCATCAGGTAATTCCATTAGCCTTTAAACGAAATATTCTAGTATTTAACGGAATATTACCTAACGATGTTAGGGATTTCATCAGTGTGCCAGGCACGTGCCTACGCGCGTAGTTGGAGGGTGTGGCCATGCCTTGGTCGGCGCGTGAAGGTGCTTGAAACATCAGAATTTTTTTTTTTAAATATAGGGATGCTTGTGGTGTTGAGTAGGCCACGATGGTATATTCAAACACCCAAATTGAGCAACGTATGAGAAGTTATTACACGGTTTTGGTTATGTGCTTAAAATTAACGTTAAAGTAGTTGTTTTGCATATAGGTGAGACATTTCCGAAGAACGAGCGTAGCCAAACGAGACTCGGGGGTTACGACCTTGTTACATACCAGTGAGTGGGCTTTTGGTTTCTATATATACGTATATGTGTTTTCCATTTTCCCATAAATTGTTTTAAATGGATTTACGTTTTTAAATGCTATGTCAATTGCATTACATTTTAGCATATGCATTAGTATAAATATGCATATTATTGCATGACGTTGGGGACGCCAGGTAAGCTTCATGTGAGTGCATATTAATGATAGTGATTGCAGTGTGTATGGTTATGTTTAGATGCATTTAGTGCTCATTATCCTGCACCCCGATGTTAGTTCTTCGCCCGAGGCCAGGGCCTAGCCTTCACATGATCGTTCACCTCCCGCACCACATGCTCACCTTGGATTCAAGGCAGGTGCCAGCCTGTCGTACATACATACCAGATTAGGTGGTTCCAACTCGTAGGTGACTTGCGATACTACGCACATCCTTCACGTAATCATAGCACTTGAGCGTATTTATTTACACCCAGCCTGTCGTACAAACCACATTAGGTGGTTCCGACTCGTGTGCAAGAATTGGTAGATGAGCTATAGGCTCAGCCGTACAGGTTATGTTAGGTGACTCCGGCTGACATATCAGTTTACATTGATTTATTTCATCTGGCTTACTCATTTCATTGCTGAGATACTTGACATGGCATATACTTGGTTTTCACTACTCTCGAGCATGATTTCTACATACATATGTATTACTAATTTCTAGGAAATTATACTGGTTTTACGGTGAGGGGTTATTATTTTTTGAAATAGAAATGGTTTTAAAAAGCTTTGTTTTTGCCCCTCATTTTTTTTTTTTTTTGCGCCCTTTCAGGTTCTAGTTAGACGTTCGTGTTGGTGGCTTACAAGGACTTTACGGCAGTTCTGACAGACTTCAATTAATGTAGGAATTTCTTTCATGTCTTGTGTTTGTACTATACTTGACCAATCCCGAAACTACTGAGCACTAGTCAACGTTATACCGTCAAGGACCCAGAAGAGTTTTCTTCCAACTAGGAAGCCAATCACAGTGCGACATGTGTCGACATTAGAAGCCAATCATAGCACGACATGTGTCGACATCAGAAGCCAATCATAGCGCAACACGTGTCAACATCAGAAGCCAATCACAACACGACACGTGTCAATGTCAGAACAAAGCTAGAAACTCTTCTATAAAAGGAGATCATTCTCCCACAATATTTCCTAATGTCATTTGTACTAAATCATTCACTAGTACTCACTAAAGGAGAGCTTGAACCTATGTACTTGTGTAAACCCTTCATAATTAATGAGAACTCCTCTACTCCGTGGAAGTAGCCAATCTGGGTGAACCATGTACATCTGTTTGCTTCCTTGTCTCTATCCATTTACATACTTATCCACACTAGTGACCAGAGCAATCTAGCGAATATCACAAACTTAACACTTTCTGTTGTACCAAAGTCTTCACTGATTTTGTGCATCAACATCTTGTATAATTAATACTTAGCCTGTTGGACTGCATCTACGTTACCTATGCTCTGAATATGTGTATCTACACCTTAAGTACCTCCACTCACACTTATATATATTTATCTAGTGTAAGTTAGCTAGTTGGTTTTTATTTACTCACATTTTCATATCACTATCACTTCCACTCTGCGCTCATGGTTACGTCACCCTCACGTGACGACCAACATGCCTCGATTCCGGTCGGGGTGTGTCAATATAATTATCTTGACATTGTGCCATTTCCAATGACATGTTTCTCCCAACCTGTTTGCTTCTTAGAGGGTTCTCTCTCTAGAAAGGGCAATTCAAACCGTTAAACCCGACAACCGTAAATAATTGTTTGAATGGAACGGATTTGGGGTTGAAAATTTGGTTATATTTCAGATATGGGGAAAAACCGAAAATATTATTTGATTATAGTTTCGGATATGGTTATAGAGGTCTTTGATCCATATCCGTCCGCGAAACTAACCCGAATAGTACATATTATATACATATAATATATTCATAAAGTTGAGAATTATAAAGTTGCATTTAATTTGTGGGAAAGTTCAAAAGGTTTGGATCAAAACCAATGAGAATTCAATGGTGCTTATGGGAGAGATCAAAGATCAGCCAACATAGTCAATGTATCTATTATCTTATAATGATAAAATTAGTATCTATTATATTATAATCCGTCAATTAAACGAATATATTTTTAGTATCGACGAAGATGGATATAACTGTTAATCGATAGGAAATCCGTTTCTTAGTGAATGTGATTATGGACCATCCCAATGGTTAATTTACGGTTATAAATATAGTTAATTTTTTATGGTTATGAAAATAAATATAGCATTTTCGTCCTCAAATAGAACCGTTGCTATCACTATCTCTCTCCTTCTTATTTACTTAACAATGACGCAAAGCATATGACTTTTCTGAAGGCCAACCGTTAATAAAGTCCAAGGTGGTCTGCGTTACTCGACAGTCGCCGCTGGCGGCTGACTGTTTCAACTTTCAACGGTAAAAGCTTGTTGATTCCTCCGCCTTGTTAATAGTATATATTATATATATACATACTTCCGGCTGTCCCCTGCTGCTGCATTGTAAATGTGTTGTGTAAGCATAAAAAAAAGAGGAAAAGGTGGACGGTGATATTGTAATTTACGTGTCACTTTTCAAGGCTAGATAACTTAAGACTGCTCGAAATTTGCATCGACCAGATCATCACAGAACTGCCTATACCTTCAGCCAATCGCGATAGGTTTTTTTTTTTTTTTTAATATTCTATTATTTAGAAAGATAAAGTTTGAAATTGAGATATCTTTCAATAACTTCAACGAGAAATACTACCTGACCAAATTAATTCATCGATGACTAGTTTGATTTGATTAAGCGGCTTAGCAGATATTCTTCTGTTTTCAACCATGTTCCAAACAAATTTCATATTACCACTAATAATCAATGTTTACGTAGAAAGAGAAGTAATGAGGAAATTAGGAGAGAGAACCAGTATGAGATGAGATCAATCTAATTTATCATTTTCAAGTATTAGACTACACATTAAGATTATAGTAGGAAATTTACATACTCTTCTATTTCATTCACGAGAAAAATAATAATGGTCTAATTGAATTTGATGCGGTGTGAGCCCCACAATTTCCTATTTTTCTAAAAAAATATGAATTTCTTCCTTTAAAGGCTCTATATATATTGATGGAATATAAATTTCTTTTAGTCCATAGAAAAACAATCAAGTATTGTAATTTGTAACAATGAATTCAATGGTTGCAGAAAATTTTCTTCAAGAACACAAGAGTCATTGAGTTTGTATTCTCCTTACCCAAAGAGTAAAACTAGGTAGAACAATTTTTTAGATTACATTTGCAAACTGTTATACGTTTATTAATAAAAATGAGCACGTTAATCAACAACCACATCATATAATTTATAAAATATAATTTAAATAGATGCTCTTCCAAACATAACCCTTAACGAGAAAAGTCTAAATCCTCTAATATTTACACACAAAATAGTGAGTGGGACTCAAAATAAAAAGAAGCTTGCACAAAACTAAGCGTAATAACGTTGTAGATTTCATACAGTCGACTATACTTAGTAAGATGAGGCTTTGTTGTTGTTGATTTCTGCAGGTGAATCCTCAATAATTTTTCTGATAAGCACCGTACCAAACGGGAACTCCTATCGCAACGCCGCCGCCAGAATTATTATTCCCAGCCGCCGGAAACCCCATTTTCGAGTGAGACGACGTCGTTGAACTTGAGCAAGCGCACATCTCCGGAACCTTCATTCTCACAGAGATATTAATAATCCCATTCCTCTCCCCCATGTGATCCCTCAGCCTGTAACTCAAAAAATGCAGGTAGCCCTCCGGCACGTACCCACCTACAAAATCCGACGCCGGAATCGACGCCGTCCCGATCGTCCTGACGCCGTACGACGTCTTGCATTGGACCTCCACCGTGATGGACCTCGAGTGAGTTGGCATGTCGAGCACGAGCTTCTCGTTCCATCGAGGGTAGGAGCCGCCTTCAGTGTCCATTTCAGTGGTGCGAAACTGACTGTTGGTGTCGGTCCGGACGGTGACGGAGGCGTTTTTCTTGATGGGTTTTCGATCTAATTTCAGATTCTCGGCGGAGATGACCGTGATCTCGAGGGTCCGGGAACTGGGTGTCATGGTGGATGAAGAGTGCGCGTTGAGAGGAACTAGGTATATAGGAGCGTTGAGGGAAATGTGCGAGAAAGGAGAGAGCAACAGCCACGTTTCTTCTGTGGAATCCGAACTGGACTATTATATAAAAATACGCGCCGTATTTTGAATGGATGAGAAAGTGAGTGGGACAAGTGTAATTTACATTCCTATTTGGGTGGTTTCCAAGTTGACTTTTGGGGATCAGGATCATCTCTTGAATTAAGGATGAGGATACCGTCGAGCTGTTGAAATTTTATTTAACAGCTATAATTATTATAACTTTTAAAAAGATTTTTTGTTTGTAACTGTTGGATAAAATTTCAACTGCTCAGTGGGTTTGTTCAGGAGGATACACACCCCTTAACTCAAGGAGAGGATCCTGATCCGACTTTTGGGCCTTTAAATGGGTAAACTTTTTGGTAATCGGTCCACGCTTTTTATTGCGGGAGAGAAACTTCGGTCTATTATAATATATTTTATACAATCTTAATATATCGATATTAGGGAAACCAAAATTATATGTACGTATAAGTTAGTGTAAATTAATTAACTTGTTGTAACTGCTAAATAAGAAAGTATAGTAGATGGTAACAGTGCTCAATGTGTGGAGGATTATGTTTCATCAAGTATTAGGCATAAGTAAATAAATAAACGAATTAGGGTAAACTTTTTAGTAGACAATTTTTTTAAAAGAGTTATATTAGGAGTAGTCGCTCACTTGTGTTGGTGTGAGTATCAATGTGATATTTTTTTTCGAATAATTTTGTTAGAAACATCTGTCCACGCATCATTGGTGTAGGTTTCATGGCAAGGCTGGTACAAATCTACAACATTTTGACAAAGGAACATGATCCTAACTATATCCTCTTTGTGAGGATCCTAATGATCAGTTCATCTTTTCGTTTACCAATCATCATCTGATTAGAAATCATTATAAATTTTTTATTTAAAATTAAACACAAACAATTAAGATGAATCAATAATATCCAAACAAAAGAGAATCCAGAGCAGATTCTCATCCTTTGACAAAGGATTATGCCGGGGACATGTCGACTAAAAGAGTATTTTATTTCTATTGGGTGGGTGCGGGGCGGCCTGTGCCGCACATCGTAAATGTCTTGTGTATCGTAAATGTCTTGTGTAAGCATACAAGTGGAGAAAAAGGTATGGGCGTCGCTATATATGTCATTTTCAAGATTTCGGCTGCATGAGATCCGCATTGACTATATTATCAGAGAGAAAGAGAGTTGCCTGGTGTCGTGTTTCAGACAACGTGAGCTTTTTTGGTTCCTGTCGTTGTCCTTACATTGGATTCGTGAAAAACAAGCGACTATGCACAAACTTGCGGCTTCACTTTGGATTGTTTTTCAACAACTTCCTAATTCTTAATGACTTCATAATATAAATTATATGGGATAATAAGATATTACGTTCTCGTATGACTTCATAATATACTCATGGCGTCCAATCATTGTCCACATGGGCGCCACGTCATCAGTTAACGGAAAAGTTAACAGCCAGACTAACGGATGTATAAGACTGTCCCAAAATTAACACTTTAGGTATGACTTTGGGATGAAAAAAAACTTGATGTATTAAATGTTGAAACCCACAAAACTTCAGGGTAGTAAACAGAGTTTAACCCTAAAAATAAATAATAAAAAAAACTAAATCTGGGCAGATTCGGAAGAAGAAGAAGAAGAGGAGGAAGAAGAAGGAAGAATGAGGAAGAAGAAGGAAGGAGGAAGAAGAAAAAAACCGAATCTGGGCAGATTCGGAAGAAGAAGAAGAAGGAGAAGGAAGAAGAAGAAGAAGGATTCGGAAGAAGGAGGAAGAAGAAGAAATAAGAAGAAAGAGGAAGAAGAAGAAAAAAATGGGTAGATTCGGAAGAAGGAGAAGGAAGAAGGAAGAAGAAGAAGGAGAAGGAAGGAGGAAGAAGAAAGAAAGAAAGAAAAAAAAAAAACGAATCTGCTACCCAGATTCAGAGGAAGAAGAAGGAAGAAGGAAGAAGAAGAATAAGGAAAAAGAAGGAGGAAGAAGAAAAAAATAAAAAATAAAACGTTTTTTTTTTTAAATTTATTTATTTATTATTTTATAATATATATTTTTTTATTTTTTATTTTAAATTTCCACGTGGATGACACGTGGCGTCCAGTCATTGTCCACATGGGCGCCACGTCACTGTTAACGGCAGACTTAACAATTTGACTAACGGATGTATAAGACTGTCCCAAAATTTACACTTTAGGTATGACTTTGGAACGAAAAAAATTTGATGTACTAAATGTTGAAAACCACGAAACATAAGGGTAGTAAATAGTCTTTTGCCCAAAATTTAATGTTTAGGAAGAAGTAATTAAGGGCATCTCCAAAGAGAAAATACAAATTTGAGATACGAAAATTATATTTATATTTCATTTTACATTTTTTGCATATGCAAATGAAGAATCTATTCAATGAGAATGTAAATTTGAGATCCCATTTAATTTTCTTTCTTTGATTAGTGGGGGACCTACACTTAAAAATGTAAAAATGAATGTAAATTTAAGTTTTTTTTTTCTTTTTAAACAAACGATATTATTTACATCAAGGGAAAATAGTGGGCTTAGCCTCGTAATGTGCAAATAATAATGTGGTTCAATTTCGCGTTTGGCAAAATCTAACCTAAGACCTCTCATTTACGAGTAAAGATGAATATCACTAACTGTAGAACTCAGTACAAAATGTAAATTTAAGTTTTATTTACATATTTCGGCGAAGATGGATAATTTCCATTTCACAATTGGAATTTTCTGGCCAAAAAAAGGTGTAAAATGCCCAATCTTTCTCCAGGTTAATTTAAGAACAACTTCTCGGATAATTAAATGGTCCTTATGGCCGATCAAAAAGATTTTTACACTTGAACAGCCGCAATGAACTCAAAGCGTTGGATTATTGAGAGGAGGAAGGAGGTTCTTTATACACGTTTGTGTCTGATTTTGCAAGGTGCTTACTCATCAACTTTTTCACTCATATAAATTCGTATAGTCATGATTGGATTGCATCTACGATTTGTTTGAAAGATTTTCACGAAACAAAGTAGATAAATGAAGACCCAAAAAAAATCAAGAGTTTTTTTTACAAAGATATTTTATTATATTTATGTATAGTATGTTAATTATAAATTAAATCACATTTCATTAATTTTTATTGGGTTAACCTCAGTTTACTGTTATGAGATTTCTTGGTTTTCAACATTTGGTACATGAAGTTTTTTCGTCTCAGAGTAGTACCTAAAGTCATAATTTTAGGACACTTTCATACATCCGTTAAGTTTTCCGTTAGAAACTTCCGTTAACTAGTGATGTGGCACTCACGTGTACAATAATTGGACGCCACGTGTCAATATGGTGCCACATGGATATTAAAAAAATTAAACAAACTAAAAATTTTTAAAAATCAAAAAATTAAAAATGGAAAACTTAAAAACTATGGTAAATCTCAGTTTACTACTCTGAAATTTTTGTTTCAACATTTCATACATAAATTTTTTTTTTCATCCCAGTCTGGTACTTAAAGTGATAATCCTTGGACATTATCATACATCCTTTAAGCTCTTTGTTAAAACAGCAGTTAACCTGTGATGTGATGCCCAAATGAACAATGATTGGCGCCACATGTCAATCTAGGGCCCATGTGAATATTAAAGAATTAAAAGTAAATAAATAAAAAATAAAAGTGAAGGGATTAAAAACACCAAGTTCCCAAGGTGTTTAAACCCCAACCTAGGTAGACTCGGCCTTGCTGCCCATGACACGTTAACGCAAAGATCGAAGCCAAGTGTCGAATTCGAAACAACAGCGCTGAAAGAGCCGCCTCCGATTTTGTGTTTTCAATCCTTTCATTTTTATTTAAAATTTTAAATTTTTTAAAATTTTAATATCCACTCAGGCCCAATCATTGTGAACGTGGACGCCACATCATAAATTAACTGATGTTTTAACAGAAAGCTTAACGTATGTATGAAACTATCCAAAAATTATCACTTTAGGTACCAGATTGGGATGAAAACAAACTTTATGTTTGAAATATTGAAAACCAAGAAACTTCAGGGTAATAAAAGAAGTTTTACCCTATTTTTTAATTTTTAATTTTTAATGTTTTTAATTTTAATATCCACGTGACGCTATTGACACGCGGCGCCAAGTCATTGTCCATGTGGATGCCACGTCACTAGTTAACAGAGGTTTTGATGTAAAACTTAATGGATGTATGAAAGTATCCCAAAATTATGACTTTAGGTACCACTCTAGGATGAAAAAAAACTTTATGTATCAAATGTTGAAAACCAATAAACTTTAAGGTAATAAACTAAGATTAACCCTTTTTTATTTGTCATATTTTTTGTGCATTGAATCTCTTCGGAAAATGAATGTAAGAGTTAATTTGTGAAGATTTCTTTCAATATCTAGTAATTAATCTAAAGATAAGGATGGATCATTTCGAACATGTCTAAATAAACAACACTAGATAAGGTGTATCAAAACTAAATACCGCACACAGATTTATGCCCACTGTATTTTAAAAAACGACTCTAGATCTTTCCTCTTCACTATAAAAGGGACTCAAGGATGATTTAAAATTTTGTACATGATCACAAACAAGGCAGATCATAATCTTTAATTGTTTTAGATTTTGATTTATGTAGAGAAAATGATGCAAAGTTTTGAGATGACCAAGATGAAGTGCAGTATGATGATAGCTTTAAAGAGCTTGAATCATATGCAGTTCTAAAGAATTGTATCCATGATTTACCAGAGGTATATACTTTATCACTCTTTCATTCACTTTTAATTTTAATCTATTTAACTTTGATTTTCAATTTCTCAAAAACTTTGATTTTCAAGGTTTATCAATTAACATTCATAACTCTTCTATTCACTTTTGTTTTTCAAGTTTTATCCATCTATAAAACTAACACACTTATTGACATATTCACTAATACAAGTAAAATTCACATACAATAGCACGTATCAATATTAGATTGTGTGGTAGCAAATATGTACCTATATTAAAGGTGTGTCAACAAACATGTTAGTTTTAAAGGAAAACTAATGAAAAGGGCTTAAAAACTTTGAGTTTTAATGATAAGAACAAAATAAAGGGTAAAGTGAATAGTACCAGGATTGACTTTTTAATGTAAAAATATGATTTTTCGTTAAAGTGAACAGTACCTGGTGCTTTTCGTTAGAAAAAACTTTGAGTTTTAATGATAAAGAAAAAATAAAGGGTAAAGTGAATAATACTAGGATTGACTTTTTAATGTAAAAATGTAATTTTTCGTTAAAATGGACAGTACCAATTGTTTTTCGTTAAAGTTCTCTAGTTTTAAGGGGCAAATCAATAGATGAGCCTTCTTCCTCTCAATAAAAACCAATTTGATAGGTATTTGAAGTACATAGATTGGGAGGGCGAAGACCCTAAATGGGTTGTGGGCCTGCCCTATACAGACTTACATAGCCGAAAAAGGTTGATTATGTTGTGGATTTGATTTTTTTTTTTAATTTTTTTTCTTTTACATTGATGTTTGATTGTTTCCAGAATTTTAAAGGATTACGATGGGAATCTTCTAAAACTAAAGGATTTTGAAGGGATTTTTCCGAAATTAAAGGATTGCGAACGGAACTTGTAAAATACGTAGCTTGCGTGGTTACTCTATTTAATTTATCTTCTCTCGATAAAGTTTAGTATATTCTCTTTAAGAAGTGGCTTTATCTATGTGTTCTTTAATTAAATACTATTTGTTTATACCATACTTAGAGCCTCCGTATTTAGATCTTGTATAAATACTTGGGAGACTCAAATGTAATTATGTAATAAAAGAATGAGTAAATATGTAATAAGTGAGGAGCCCTTATTCTATAAAAGTGATTCATCACCCTCACAATCAGAAAGGAGCTCTCTCACTCTCAGAAGCCCCCTCACCCTCTCAAAGCCTCATTCTCACATTACAGAGGCTCTCTCCCTCATAATCCTCTCAGAGAAATACAATATCAGTGTGGACGTAGCCCAAACATTGGGGTGAACCATGATACATCTTGTGTTCTTTACATTTCTTGCAGATTCACGGTCGAATTTACGTTGTTCCAAGACCTCCGGTTTTGTGCATCAACATTTGGCGCCGTCTGTGGGAAACGATACAAAAAGTTGTGTCGGTTCTCTTTCATTTTTTTCACCTCCACCATGGATATGCAAAACCCAAGAGACAACCAAAACTCTCTCTGCCTCTCTTTTACTTCTGATCTCTTTCACCTCTTCAAACAAAACACCACAAACTCTCTCTCTCTCTCTCTCTACACCTCAAAAACCAGCATCTTCTTCGATCCTCCATGCCTTGTGAAATTTCCAATCAGCTTCCAACCGCCATAATACGACACTATTCGTATTGTATCATTATATCTATACGAAAACTTCAGTTGATGGGCACTGTTTACCAAAAGTGATTTCACGAAAATACCTTTGGTTTTCTTCCCTTTCTTGCTTTGCTTTTTAATGTTAAACAGTGGATTTACAAATTTCCCCTTACTATTTGTTGGTTGGGGGTGCCACTACCTCTTAGAAGATACCTGTTTGTTCCATTTGTGTCCAGAATCTCCCCAGTTTTCTCTGTCACAAACCACAAACCAAAAAATCCTCTCTATAAAAAGATCACGAACCCAGCACAATCTCTCTCAAAAGTTGTTAACCACAACACAATCCGGTCCTGATTCGAAGAAAGCTTTAAGCCCAGAAAAAGTTCAGATTCATTGGGAGTTTGTTTTGATTTTTTGTGGAAGAATTCCAGTTTCCAACGCTTCGTATTCTTCAATTACAGGACCCAAGAGGATCTCGATTGGATTTGGGGAAGCTAAGGAATGGTGGTTTTCTCTCTGTGTGTGTATCAGTAGGGCTGGATCTGGGTTTGCTCTGCTTTGCTCTTTCAATTTCAATAAGCTAGTGTAGCCGTGCAGGTCCGGGTCAGTTAGGTTGTTGAACTTTGAAGGAAGGGAATCTCAACAACAAGAAAGAGTAATCAATCGAGAAAGAAATAGGTGGGAGTAAGAAGGCGCTGGGGACGACATGGGAGTTCTTCAGGAGGAGGGATGAGTGGAGGAAGCACCCTATGCTTTCCAATCAACTCCACCACGCCACTCCCGGCATCGGCATTGCTATCGTTGCATTCGGCGTCTACCTCGTCGGCGAGCAGATCTATGACCGCCTCATTGCTCCCTCCCCCTCCCCATCCTCCTCCTCCTCCTCCTCCTCTCATCACGCCTACTCTCATTCTGTCTCTTCAATCTCCGCTACTCACTGAACAAAGAATTCTGGAGAAACTGGAAGTGAATGATTTGCAGGCATCTTTATGAGAATTCGAGCTCTGAGAAGATGGAGAAAACTAGAGGAAAACAGAGGAAACTGGAGGCATATGTTATACAAGGTCCGGTCGGAGCTCAAGAAACTTATGGGTTCTGATGCTGGAAGACTCGCCAGATGTGTCACCACCGATGCTCCAAGCTCTATCAACATTCGCCCAGCTCCGGAGACATCATCAACTCTTTCTCTCATCTCTCTCTCTCTCTCTCTCTTTCTCTCTGGTACTTCCAACTTCGGAGACATCGTCATCGCCAACTGAGTCAAGTCGTAAGAGCTGATATTGATTCTGACGACCCCATGCGAGGTGTCGATGCCGGAGATACAAACCCCATTGATTTTGTGAGTACAACCCCAAGCAGAAGAACAAAATACTGCGGAATATAGTTAAGAAGCTCACATGCCAACAACAAAATGGGAATCATGGAAAGATCAATGGGACTGTGGTGCTGATGAATAAGAATGTTTTGCACTTCAACGATCTCAATGCTTCGGTTCTCGATGGCGTGTATAAGTTGGTTGGCCAAAGGGTTTATCTGCAGCTCATCAATGTCGTTCATGCTGATGATTCCACAACTGCCTAGTTATGCGCAATACCAGCAACACCCTAGTATTGGGCAATACTAGCAAAACCCCCGCGTTGGACAATGTCAGACAAATTCAGATGCTTTTTCAAAATATGATAGTGGATTCTCACATGGGAAGTGATTGGAAAAGCATTAAAGGGAAGAAGATAAAAAGTGAGGGAGGACCAGAGATAATTGCGGTGGACTCGTGGACCATGCAGCAAAAAAAAAGGAAACAAAAGCAGAAAGCAGAAAGAAAAGCATAAAGCAAAAGAAGATTAAAAGAAGATAAAAAGAAGCAGACATAATTGCGGTGGTGATGGCATGCAGAAAAAAGAATTATGGGCGTGATCCATCGAGCAAAGGGTCGGATTTTATTTTTGAATGATGTGATTTATTTTTCTTATCTTTCGGAAATATCTGTATAACCCCATCAAAGGGTAATCAATAAAAAATAAAAAAAAGGCAAGCCCAAAATAATGGGCTCGAATGTTATGTGGAGAGCAAAGGCCCATATGCCCAAAAGAGCCAAGCCCTCTATTATCACCAACCAGGTGATCAAAAGTACGTCTAGTACTACAAAAAATTATTCGGCAGCCTGCCACTATTATCACCAACCAGGTGATCAAAAGTACGCCCAGTACTCTAAAATTATTCGGCACCCTGTCGCTATTATCACCAACCAGGTGATCAAAAGTACGTCCAACGCTATTATCACCAACCAGGTGATCAAAAGTACGCTCAGTACTCCAAAATTATTCAGCAGCCTACCGCTATTATCACCAACCAGGTGATCAAAAGTACGTCCAGTACTCCAAAATTATTCGGCAGCCTGCCACTATTATCACCAACCGGGTGATCAAAAGTACGCCCAGTACTCCAAAATTATACATGAGCATCACTCATGTCAATCATGCATAAGCATTCATGAGCATCACTCATGTCAATCATACATAAACATTCATGAACATCACTCATGTCAACATTCATGAGCATCATTCATGTCAACATTCATGAGCATCACTCATGTCAACATCCATGAGCATCACTCATGTCAATCAACATAAACATTCATGAGCATCACTCATGTCAGTCAGCTTCAAAAGCTTCATTTACAGAGTTCTAGCTTCGAAAGCTTCATTTACAGAGCTCCAGCTTTTAAAGCTTCATTTACAAAAGCTCCAGCTTCAAAGCTTCACTTGCAAAGCTTCACTTGCAAAGCTTCACCTACAAAGCTTCAGTGCAGGGTATACAAATACCGCCTCCAAACAACCGCCACTTCGGCCCATACATGGTTCAAATTTAAAGTCTCCAGCTAACAGACTCTATTGACTGAAGACTTAGGGGACTACATTATGTACCATATATTGGGCCTCAACTGGGCCTCATGAAAAATACTCGGGGGACTTAACCCATTATTTATGTATTGAGGATCGAGCCCTTATTCTATAAAAGGGACTCCCTCACCATCATTAGAAAGCATCAACTCTAGCCCATTATTCATGTACTGAGGAGCGAGCCCTTATTTTATAAAAGGGACTCCCTCACCTTCATCAGAGATCATCGCCGCCAGCTGAGCAATCGCCTCACCGCGAGCATCACTCCTAACCCATTATTCATGTACTGAGGAGCGAGCCTTTATTTTATAAAAGGGACTCCCTCATCTTCAGTAGAGAGCATCGCCACCAGCTGAGCAACCGTCTCGCCGCGAGCATCATTCCTAACCCATCACTTATGTATTGAGGAGCGAGCCCTTATTATATAAAAGAGACTCTCTCACCTTCAACGCCACAAGCCGAGCCAACCAAGGCAACATAAGCCACAAGCTGAGCAGCCTCGCAATATGTGCTACTTCCAGTTGAGCATCATTTCAGATTGAGCACCGCCTCATATCGAATATCAGTCCTAGACGACATCTAGTTACTTCGGCCCACACATGGATTGAGTTTCAAGTCTCCAGCCAAAACACTCTCTTGACTGAAAACTTGGGGGACTACTGTTTGTACCATACTTAGGGCCTCCGTATTTAGACCTCGTATAAATATTCGGGGGACTCAAATGTAATTATGTAATAAATGGAAGGGCAAATATATAATAAGTGAGGAGCCTTTATTCTATAAAAGGGCCTCCTTACCCTCACAAACCTCAAGCCTTTCATATTCAGAGCAAAGCTCTCAAGGCCTGATCCTCACATACTGAGCTCTCACCCTCACATCTCATCCTCACCACAATCCCTACTCTCAAACTCTCTTTCTCTTGGGGACTCCCCCTCAACCTTGTAACCCATACATACAGTTAGAGAGAAATACAATCAACATCAGTGTGGACGTAGCCCAAACATTGGAGTGAACCACGATACATCTTGTGTTATATACTTTCTTGCAGATTCACGGTCGGATTTACGTTGTTCCAAGACCCCTCCGGTTTTGTGCATTAACACTATTGAATTTTTATGGCAGGCCGCCAATTATCTGTTAGGAAAACCCTGGACCAAGAAGCATGAAGTGCTTCATATTTGGTGCTGGATGGGCATTGTTTTGATTAAGGCCAAGATTAATTATTGTTAGTGTTAACTGGACTTTTGTCCCATTTGTAACCAAAAGAAAGAAGAACAATGATGAGCCTATTGCTGTTGTTGGCAACTTGGCACATCAAAAAGTGAGCACATTGCTTCTTCTTCTTTCTTTATGTTTTTAGGATAACTGTATATTGTTGAGGATCCTGGAAAAGTAGGTGCTGATAGAAGAAAAAAAACAGATAAAAGTAGCATTGGTGCACGACGGATATAACCCAATTAGTGTTGTAATAAAGAGACACGAAATCCAGACAATCCTCTTTAACCACCCGACGAGGGCAAGTGTGATGTTTTTCATCACTTTCTTTCGTTTCTTTATTCTCTTCACTCTGCGAATTGAGATTCATCATAATCCTTACAGATTGAAAATTAATTGTTTGAAGGGCAGGTTAGAAGCCCATATCTGTTTGGGCAAAGATTTATCTGGATAAAGTCTCTGGACCTCAGCACAGCTCCCTAAGGGATTGGCACTTTAGACATGTCTATTTGGTAGTCGGGCTCTTGCTTGCCTTGTGTGCTACAATAAGAGCTTGAAGTTAGTTCTAAAATTTGCCTTTATGGGGCCTTAGGTGTAGGCCTTGAGGCTCGCAATCAAAACGAACTAATTACTTATGTACGCCACTGCTATCTCAGTATAGCAGATGTAGAACAAGTGTGTTTCAAGTCGATTACTTGCGCCCCAAGTTACTCAAACTTCTTGTTATCAAAGGATTGTCACATATGGGTTAAGTCTATATTAAGTTCTTTTCTTGCCTTGTAAACAAGGACTTTTAGTTCATGATCTTGTATGTTTGAATGGAGGGAGTCCAGAGCCCCTTAAGTCATTTGTTTGTTTCCAAATTGCTCTTAATGAGAACATATCCATTAAGTTAACCAGTTCCAGATGCAAATGGAACTTTTAAAATAGGAAAACAGGTGAAAATAACTAGAATACATGTTGGAGAATGCATTAAGTAATAGATCTACTAATTCAGAGAACAAACAAAGAAATTCAGGCAAGATTTCACCTTGTCTGGCAAGGTTGAACTTCTTGCAGTCACTTCTCTTTCAGTTTACAAGGTTTGTATGCTAAAAGGGATGAATGGTAAACAGTTTACACAAAGGAATCAATACTACAAGACTAAGGGAGGTAGCATAGCTTTTATACTAGACAAAAGATAACTTTTATGATGAGGCTATTGCTAACGAGACTGAATCTGAGTTGATTTCAGGCTTGAAAAGTATGAATTGGCTTAAGAGCAGAGTTGGTATGCTTGTTTGTTTGATTGGTTGAATATCCTTGTCTCTATTGTCTCTCTTTCCTTTTATAGGCGATTTGGCCCGAGGGTCAGGGCATTGCTCTTACCCGAAAGCTCTTGGAGGGTAGTGAATCATCAGCTTTTTACTTGTATTGCGACTAGAAAGTGCTTTTTGACTGATAGTTAGTCTCCATCACTTGTCACTTCCATCATAGACACGTGGCTTATGTTTTGGTTGAGAAGGCTTTAGTTTGCTTCTGGGCTTGATGCTGGGTTTCGGGCAAATCTTCCTTTAATTTGGCATCCTTAGGCTTTCCTTCATTCAAGCCCAATATTCAAATATTAACCCAAACAATATCATTATATTCTTTCTCCAAAGCAATTGCATGCAAGATTTGATAATTTAGAATTTACAATGACTGTAATATATTGAGGGAATAGACAAATATATCTTGTTCGAATATAAATTTCTTTTAATAAAAAAAATGATCAAGTTTTGTAAATGGTTGCATACAATTTCCTTCAAGAACACAAAATTCATTGAGTTTGCATTTTCCTTAACCAAAAGTCTAAATCCTCTTACAACTTCTTGAGTTAAACTTCCTAGAAATATGGATATATCTCTATTTCTTATTTCTCAATAATCGCGTGGAGAAATTGTTGGGCACGGCTGCTACACGAGAGTGCACAATACATGTAGGTCCGTATTTTTTATTTTTTTTATTTTTTATTTAATTTTTTTTAATCCAAGTGTAGTGTGAATAAATTCTATTTCTGCATAATTGAGTATATGGATCATCTCACAAATGATCAATTTTCATGGCACAAATACACTGTTGCCGTAACAATTATATGCAATGTGACAAGCACATTTACACATCTCTCCTAACCACCATACTTATCATTTGGTGAATAAGAGTTTTGAAGTTGAACTAATTGTAGAGGAAATTCAAATTAATGTTGTAGCATAAAAAAAAATTAAAGAAAAAAATCTCAATGTGGTAGACAGCATGGACTACTAGAAGCTTATCCAAATTCAATCTATACTAAAACTCAAAAAACTCTGATTCACTGTTCACAAGAATAGTGTACTCCCTATTTTGCCCCTGATAAGCTTGTTTTAGTACGTTTGTGCCACTTTATGGATGGGAAAGTATATACAGTTTATTTTTTCTTTCCTTTTTCTTCTCCCTTCTGGCCGTTTCTCCTCGCTCCTCTCTACAAGTCACCATTGTGGTTGGTGACGAGTTCGTCGTTCCCGAAATCTACAAGCCAACAAACCATCGAAAAGAAACCCTCTCCTTACATTCAATATAAATCTATTTGTAAAAATTCTCATCCATTTTTATTTATTAAGTTAGTGCCCGAGACGAACTGTTTCTGGCCGAACGCTGACGAATCGGACCTCCTCGTTACAATCAATCATCTACCCTTCGTCTCAGAAACCAAAATCACCCGTTGCATGCGATTCTTTATGGTTTAAGGTGAATCAGAGGTAAAGCTTAAATTTTCATACAAAGTCTGTACTTTTCTTGATCGGAAATTGGGCTTTTTTATCCTTTTACTGAATAGTTGTTAAGAATTGTTAGAATTATTAATTGTTTTGGTTTCTTTTGAATTTTTTTTATATTTTATTTTGAAGCCTTGAATTTGTTTTTTATTTTTCTATTAATT